ATTGACTGATATCTCCTATTTCCTCAGCACTGGGAAAAGTACTGTAGGAAAATGTTCTATATCTTAAGCTGAGTGATTATAACGCAGATGTATACATATACAAAAACACTTTAGGCTCTACACTTAAGATTAGTGCACAATACTATATGCTATATGTCAATTTAAAAAATAAGTATACAAAAAAAATTTAAATTTAAATTTAAAAAGTAACAACAAAAAAATAAGTATACATAAGTATACATAATCCCTGCCTTCGAGGAACTTTCCATTCACTTTAGAAGTTCATTTATGCAATCATTTGTTGAGTGCCAGGCAGTGTACTGGATGGTTAGGGATGCAACAGTGAATGAGCCAGGCGTGAAGCCTATCCTCATGAAGTATACATCTTAGTGGAGGAGTCAGAAAATAATCACTTATGAAAAAATGATGTCCATTATAATTATGAATAATATGTACCACTAAATAATTACCATATTTCATTGATTCTAAGATGCACTTTTTTATAGCCTAAAATTTCTGAAATAAGGATGTGTCTTACATTCTATGGTTTCCAGTTTAATTAGAAAGGTTTTTCTAATGGTACATAAAATAATGGTGCATCTTAGATTTGGTGAAATTTGATCAATTCTAAATTATTAAGTATCATGGGAGTTCAGGGATATGTAAATCTACAAGCATTCTAGGAGTCAAAAAGGGCTTCAAGGGCAAGGTCAGGCTTGAGCTAGATTGAGGAAAAAGTAAGGTTTTAAAGATAGGAAGAACAGGGGCAACTGGAGGTGAAAGCATCAAGGAGAAAGGAGAAGCTGTGATTGAGAGACACAGGTCTGGATGGGACGGGGAAGGGGGAACGTTAGGAAGCAAAGAGAGCTGAGTGGCTAATACATTGAAATCAGATTGTAAAATGCCTAGAAAGTCAAGCAAATGATGCAGTTAAAAATGAAGGGCAACTGAAGATTTCTGAGCAGAAGAATGAAGGGTTAAGTCCAACTTTGATACATAGAATGGACTCAGCAACAGGGGCCATATACATAAGTATGTTTTCAATGTTTGGTCACCATTGTTTGAGCTTAAAGGAAGGAGACACATTGTCTCAGTATTCAGGGAGGTTATGAGCTCACAGCAGAGCCATGGTAAATACTGTATACACATGAGCATGTGGTAGAGATGAATGATCCAACACTCAACCACTCCCCCAGACCCAGTGGGAGAGCACACCCACTGGGTGTTATTGATCTCCGGTAGCCAGACCTGAATGACTGCACTAGACTACTATTGAAACCAGAGCCAGCTATGCCAACACTGAGTAAGCTGACCATCGTCCCCTCCACTTGGGCCTGATGAGGAGTCCTAGATGTTCAAAGACTTGTCTATGGGCCTTTCTTTTTGAAGAGGTCTTATAGTCATCCCAAATTCAGTCATTTAATCCTCATTACATTCATGTAAGGTAGGTGTTACCATCCCCATTTTGCAGGTAAGGAGACTAAAGATCATAGAGGTGAAGCAATTTTCCCAAGGTCACAGAGCTAGTAAGTAGCAGAGTTGAGATTCATACTCTGTTCTATCTCCTCTCAAAGTTGTGCTTTGAACCAGTACTCTCTGGGAGTCTCAGCCCTAATCAGGCTGTCGGATCAATAGTTTCAGACCCCTAGTTATGGAGTCTGGGATTAGTATTAATACAGCCTGGGTTTTGTGTGCCCCCTTGTACCCACCGAATTACAGCCTTGTTCCTAGCCCCTATCATGCTTGCTTGTTTAGAAGACTGGATCTTACCTTAACTTTTTGCTTTGTACTTTATTTACTCTGTCAAGCAGTGAGCTTACCCTGAATCCCTGACCCCTTGACCATCTCCTGCCGTTCTCATCCTCCCCACCATGGTCCTTCTCCAAACCAGATAAATGCCTGCAACCCCAACCTTGTTGCCTGCCTGGATCTGAGCACCACACTGTCGGGAAACTGCTGCTGCCAAGCCCTGATCCCTGACATCTGATTTCCCCTTGTTGGGTCACAGGATATCAAAGGCTCCAACCTAGAAACTAGAGCTGGGCTCAGATTGAGGTAGAGCTAGCCAATAACTGTGGGATGTAGAGGTAAGAAGGGATCCAAGGAGAGTATCTAGGGATGAAGGCAAGGAGAGGAACCAACAGCTAGGCCAAAGAAGTATCAATCCAAAGGAGTCTGACAGAGAGCAGGAACCAGCCAAGAGGAAGACTGTAACTGGAGCCAACATCAAGGAGCAAGTCGGTGCGGAAGGGAGGATGGAGGTGAAAGCAGCAAAACTTCCCAAATGCTTGAATGTGGAGACAGGACATCTTATAGGGTCTATGAATGTGGAGAGAACGGGTAAGGTCACTAAGCTGGTTCAGACACCTGGACCTGACCTCCTTCAGCCTCTGTCTAAGCCCTCAGGCGCCAGCATGGATTGTTGGTTGCTCTGACCACAATCCAGACCAATCCCAGCCTCCTTCTTCTCTCTACCCTCATTCATTCACTTACTTATTCAATTAACAAACATTTGAGCCTCCACTAGAAGATAAGCTTCATGCAGGTAGAATCATTGTCTTTTTTTCATCATTTTAAGGCCTAAAGTCCAGAACAATTTCTGGCACATAGTCACCACTAAATATATATCAGTTGAATGAATGAATAACCGATGAATGTTTGGAAAATGTTCTGAGTCCTAGGGTATCCTCTGAATTGTGACAACCTTAAATAGAGTGCCAAGCACATATTGCCTGCTGGTTTTCACCAACAGTATAATTAGAGATTTGGATAGGCTAGCAGCTAGCAGCTTGTATAGTCTTTAATCAGCCACTTCCTATGATAAGATCATTTTAAAACTTCTAAGACAAGAAATATCATGTGGAATTGAGAGAAGGTAAAAAGACACTTTAGTCAGGGTTTAGAACATTAAATGAAATAATTTATTTTTCCCTTTTTTTAATTTCAAAACTAATTTTTGGTCAATACTATCAAGGCTACTAAGCATTTGCCACCGGCTTCAAAAGAATATACAACAAAGTATGCCTGAAAATTGCCAAAAATTATACAGTCAACATGGTAGGTAAAAAATTATGGAGTTTGACCACAAAATTTTCTAGACTTAAGTGGAGTCCCCAGAGGAAAATATTGATGCAAAGCTTTGACATTTTACTTTGGATTACTTCTTAGGGCACTAGGTCAAATAACACTCAAAAGTTTTCAAGATGCATGTAAACTGTGCGTAATCCCCAAACCATCTACGCGCAAACTACAGGATGCTGTGGTTAGTCAGGTTGAAGCTCCGTCAGCCATCTTCATGTTCAGGGTAAACAAATAACGATTCTGGGACTTGCACAGAAACCATGGCAAACCCTGAAGGGGGCTTTAACTTTGAATTAAAGGAAACCACAAGCCACCACGCCACTGACCATGAACATGTTTACATCTTGTCTGACTGGGGGTGAGTGCAAAAGGAGTTTAAGTGACTTAGAGAGCTTTTGCCCATGATGTGGTTAAGCAGCCTACCAGTGTCAAGGGGAAGAGGACTGGAGGAAGTGTGATCAGAGGATCCAGTTCCACACAGCTAGAGGGTCAGAAGGTCCAAGGCAAACTTAGGCTTGGATTGGGGAGGTATTACCATCTGTTGGGTAGGTGGGTGGAGGGAAGCAACACGTAAACAAGTAACAGATGTTGCTCAAAGTGACACAGAGTCTACAGAAGATTGCCTGAAGTCTGGTCTATGATCATCAAAAGTGTCAGTCTGAGTATGGGAAATGGTTAACAGAATTTTGTTAAAGATTGCTCACTAACAGTCATACTGAGTGTCTTGGTAGAATGAATTGCATTGAGTAACAATCAAAAAACGTTGCGACAGTCAGCGAGAGCTGGCAATGATAGATTTCAGTTCCTAACTCTTGCTAAATTCTGCCACTCTAAGTAAGATGAAGCAGCTGAGGCAATAGCAAATATTTCCCTTCCCCCTGCACTAGGTAATTAAATGGGAGTAAATGAGCTAGTAGGAAGAAAGCTCCTTGCTTACTTGAGAAGCAGGCCCTGCTAAGAGGGGCAGGAGAAGAGGCAGTGGGGAACACTACAAGAAGTCAAACCATGACCACAGGCTAGGGCTCCTGGGGTCTATGTAACGCCCATCCTGTGCCGACGACTCCCCGAGACTCTATCTCACTCTTTCTGCTCTCCCAGAGCCTCAGCAGACTGGCAGAGCTGAGACAGGGTTTGAGACAAGTCAAATCATGAGCTCTTCTAGCTGCTACATCCCTCCCTAGGGAAAGGATGCCTGGACAATTAGGTATATGGCCCTGGGTTAAGAGGTCAGGTCGGAGAATGAAGTTTGCATAAGTTAGTGCTGCTTTCTTCTTTCTTCACTATGCCTGTTACATCATTTATGTACTTTTTGAAGTGCCTGTTGCTGAGCATGAAACTCTAAAAAACAAGGAGGATGAGTTATAGAGAAAAGGGAACATTCCTCTGGCTAATTCCTAGAAGCGACTTTGCAACGTGGAACAATGCTTTGTGTTTCCAGGCAACTGGACTATGTATAGCAGAATCCCAGCTGGCGGATGGTGAGGAGGGACTGGAAAGAGCTGGGTGCATGATCTCTAGCCAAGTTGGCTGGGGTTTGGAGCAGGGCTCAGCCTAAGCCAAGGAAGCATTAGGCAAGGAAACTGAGGCAGAAGCCCAACTGTATGGATTTTGTCAACACAGGAAGATTAAGGAAAAGGTGCCTGAGATATCCTGGAAAGCGTTGAAGGCTCAGAGTCAGAGGGCTGTGAACTGAGATCCAGGCTGTCATTTCTCATTAGTGTAACCTTTGACAAGCATCTTAACTTCTTTAAGGCTCTGTTTTCTCATGTATAAAATGGGGATAATAATAATCTCATAGGGATGTTGTGAGAATTAGGCTATATAAAGGATATAGGATCAAAATAAACACTTTATTCTATCAGATTGTAAACTCCTTGAAAGCAAAGAATGGATCTTAGCAGCACAGCAATGGCCACATAGAGTGTTTAATAAATGTTTATTAATAAATGGGAAAAAACCCCAACATATTCCAGACCCTATCCCTAGGTGAGGCTGAGGTTGCTAGTCTATACACATTCTCATTCTTACTACTCAAAGTGAAGTTCATGAACCATTGACATCGCCTGGGAACTTCTTAGAAATACAGGATCTCTGGCCTCACCCAACCTGATGAATCAGAATACCCATTTTGGCCTGAACCTCAGATGATCTGCTTGCACATTAAACTTTGAGAGACACTGCTTAGTCAGGATTGCCTGGAGGAATGAGGAGCCTGAGTCTCCTGGTGGATGGCATCTAGGGGCTCCAGCTGGGAGGGGTGGGGAAGGCAGGAGATGTCAGGTAGCGTCCACACTGATTCCTTAAATTATGACTGGCATCTTGGGCAGATGGCCACACTGCTCTGCATCGGAGGAGCCAGACTCTCAAGCTGGCTGGGCAGGGGCAGTTTGCAGATGAGAAAAGATTGAGTTTCAGCACCTCAGCTGGGCTTGAAGGCAATGTCTAGAGGTCAAGGAGGCAAGAAGTCAAGTCCAGGGGACTCAGGTGACAGAGAAGCTATGCTGGTCTAGAGAGCCAGAGTCTAGAGAGCAAGAAGATGGGAGAAATAGAAAACAGACGATTCTACCAATACTTACAGAGTCACCACCATAAGTTCTCATTTTGCGGAAGGTTGCTCCTTGTTCTGGATCTCATCCCCTTCAGTGTGTGGGTGGATGTGTCTTCACAGCCTCGTGTCTAGTCTGATGGGGACTCAGCATCACGATGCACTTGCTCCTTCTTTAAGGCAGGTGTGAGGCTTGCTGGAAGGTTTCTCTGTCCTGCCGATTTAAAGAGACAACAGAGAAGGTGGGAAAGTGGACATTTCAGGGAATAGTTTTGAAAGTTCTGTGAAGAAATGGATGGAAAGTTCCAAGACCTTTTGATCACACTATAACCCACCCCCACCTGCCTGACTCCTTTGTACCCTGTGGATCTCAGCAGAGGCCTGTCTGTTCTGTTCACTGCGCCCAGCACAGTGTCTGATCAGTAGTAAGTGCTGCATATCTCTTTTTGGAATGAGTGAATGAGAACACTTACAGGAGCCTTGCTCCATGGCTGCCTAGCCAACAATGAGGTTCAGGAAGGCTGACAGCCCCTCCACCCAAATAAGGGGTGGTCATGAGCAAATCTTTGTCCAGTCTGTGTTGATTCCTCCTCAGGGACTCCTGATTAGCGTACACCACTGTTAGGCTGAGAATCCAAGTAATGGGAAAAATGTGTTTAGGAAATGCAAAGTGAGACATACTAGAAAACGTCGGTGGGCCCATGTGATAGCTGCCTTCAGAGTGGCCATAGGGAGTTATTGGCAGCTGTCTGTTTCTTATGATGACAGTTTTCAGACACCATCCAGATCTTCTGCCACCCTGAGGGTTTGGAAATAAATAGGTCTTAAATCTGACTATCTTCGAACCCCAGTAACCATATTTGACATTCCTAGTGATAATCTTCCAAAAGTTCCGTGAGGAATTATTCATGACTTCCCTGATGACAAAATACAGCCATAAAATACAGTGTTTGGTATTTCTCAGGTATCTCTGTGGTGGATGAATGACTCTCTCCTGAAGTGCCATCTGATAGGAAAGAAAAAAAAGGCAAATAAATATAGATTAATGCTCCACTAAAATTTTTCTGAATATGCAAGGAGCTACAAATGCTAAGTCAATGTGTTCCAAAATTGGCTCTCCCTATTAATATGTGGGCAGTAAATTATTAAGAAAAACTAATTATCTCTTTAGATAATATTACCCCAAGCATTACTTTTACAAGCTTGGTAGAATGATTCAACAGGTTAACTCAAGTCTCTGCTTAAGCATCATTTTTTTAAAGTGACACTTCCTGGTAAACAGGTTTTTAATTAAAAAAGAAAACTATATTTGCATCCCTCGATGATAAAGGAGAAACTACAGACTATTTAGCTATCTCTACTCTCTGTCTATCTCTAGTTATCTTTGGCAACAGTTACAAAGGAAAACTACCTGGAAGGATAATTTCTCCCACAATAATCCCTTCCAATTAGACAGGACTTAGCAATTTATAAGTATGTTCACATACATGATTTCATTTGATCCTCTTAACAGCCTTGTAAGGCAGGTATAACAAGAATTAGAGTTAACTTCATTTTATGAATGAGGATGCTGAGGCCGTGGAAGCTACATGACTTGTTCATGGTTATCCTGCTAGGAGGAGTTCAGTCAGGCCTTGAACCCAAGGTTTTTGATCCCAGGTCTATCTTAGTGTTATCGTCATCAGGTGAACTATGGTTAAGTCTGCCTGACGTCACATTGCAGAGGGACCTTGAAGGTGTTCTAGTATAGTGGTTCTCAAACTATATTTCTTCAAACCCTAAAGGTCCATAGTGGTGCTTAGGAAGCCACCAAAGGGAAGATGAGAAGATAAGTACTGGCAACTCTCCCAACCAAGGAGCTCTGTTTTTATGTCTCATATACTGGTGTTCAAGTAAAATCTCTTTGAAAGAAAGTATTCCACTGCTTTAAATAAAAATTTGAGATTCATGTAAATCCTTAAAAGTGGAAAAGGGAGCCAGAAGAGTGGGTCAGAGAGATGAGAAGGAAGAAGGAGGAGAAAGTCGAAGCCTGAGAAGGACATGACTTGCCATTGCTGGCTTTGAAGGTGGAGGAAGGGGGCCACGGGCCAAGGAATGTGGTGGCTGCTAGAAGCTGGGGATGGTGACAGGCAGCTCGGTTCTAGAACCACAAGGAAGTGAATTCTGCCAACAACCTGAATGAGCAAGGAAATGGATCTTTCTCTAGAACCTTCAGACAGGAACACAACTCTGCCAACACTTTGATTTTAGCTCCTGAAACCCAAGTTGGACTTCTGCCTAAGTGAGTTGTATGACAATACATTTGTGTTGTTTAAGCCACTAAGGTTTCGGTCATTTGTTATGGCAGCCATAGAAAAGAAAAGGACATCCAGATGTGCATCAGCAGGGGGCCAGCTAAATACACAAGCCCTGGGGCAAGCACACAAGGGAAGACTACACAACTGTGAAAAGGAGTGAGGAAGACTTCCACGCATGGCCCACAGTGATCGTCAGGATGTGCTGTCAATGGAAGAAAGCAAGGTGCACAAGCTACGTTCTGTGAGAGATGGGGGGATACAAATATGTACATTTGCTTATGTCGCAAAAAACAAAAAGGATAAACAAAAAGCCTAATATGGGGCTTCTAGGGCAGAGAGGCAACAGCATAAAGAGAGAAGATGGACATGAACGTCTCTGAATATACTTTTTTTTAAATAGTTTTGACTTTGAGATATGCAAATGAGTTATATGCTCAAAAATAAGTTAAATTTAAAATGTTTTAACAATTTTTTAGAAAGTAAAATGATTTTTAAAGAAAGCAATCACTAAAAAATACAACAAAATAACAAAACAAAACCCCTGAAATGAATGAACCTAATTTTGTGTTAAATTGGTAATAGAATCACATAGAGAAAGGAATTATAGGACTTTAGAATTCTGTATTTTGACTGTACATCCTAGTGTAATACAGTCTAAGAACAAATACTTAAATTGCATTCAGTAGTCTTATTGTTAGTAGTACCATTGAAATTATGATTTCAAAACTCTTTATGAAATAGTAGGATAAAGAAAATAAGTAATTATGTTAATATTTCTAAAAATACAACTTTAGTGTAAAAAAAGGTATTTAAATATAAATTCAAAGTTAAGTAATCTTAAATTTGAATTGGAAATATCAGTATGAACTCATGATGTTTCACAAAATAGATATTTCCTCTCTCTGTCCACTGGAAAGGTCTAGAAGCAACGACTAGCCAGTAGCAATGAGCACCTCTTCCTCCACCCTTAGTGCCCAGATTATGGTCTTTAAATACCATTTGACACTAAATGAAAACAGGTAGGAGTAACCCAATTTCAGCTTGAGTTTGGGGCAGGAATGCACAAGATGATTCTAGCACAATCTATTGTCAGAAAGCAAGAAAATCATAAAAAATTAGTAGCCTCCTGTCAAAATGCCTAGAACATGAAGGGTTGCCCATTGGCCAAGATAGGTCCATTTTAGGTTCAAAAAGAATAATGACTGTGGGTGATGGAAATACACCCAATGTATAAAAAGCCTATGCTTTCATATTGATACTGAGGAAAAGAGATAGCAGGGGGGAAAAACAGAAAGAAAGAAAGGAAGAAAGAAAAATCAGCTTAACTTTGGGAGTAACTGGAGGACCTGTTCCTTATTCTGAAATTCGGAATTAAAGGACAAGGACTCAGCATTTCAGCATTTATCCCACCTTCCTGTGTTCAGGGTAACTGAATAGCCTGAGAGAGGAGGCGAAGTGCTTCTTTTCAGAGTTCCAGCCACTTATTGAGGAAAGATTGATAGAGAATTGCCATTTTGAATATCTGAAGAAAATACTTAATTCAGGCAGAGATGGAGACCATTAGATATGAAGCTGATGGGGAAGTGGCAAGTGGGGGTCAGGCTGCTATCAATCTCAGCATCCTTGAGCGGGACAATTGGACATTGTGTATCTTGTGCTGCAGTATGAGGTACACAGTGCCACCTGGGAACTACCCTCAACAACAACGAAAAAGTGGAAATGGAATCTAATCAAGGTTTTGGAATGAAGTTCCAGTTTACAGGAAAGATGGGGGCAGAGGCACAAGTGAAGTGCCATCACAAGGAAGTAAAGGGTGCATCTCTAACGCAAGACATTCTACAGGACAAGTGACTGGGGTTTGTCACCAAGGCAATGACATGGGGAAAAGAGGGGGTTCTAGATGAAAAGAGACTAATCTATGACAGAAGGCAGATGCGTGGTTGCTGGGGATGGGGAGGGGCTGGGAGGAATTACAAAGGACACAAGGGGACTTTCAGGGGCGATGGGTTTGCTCAATATCTTGACTGCGCTGAGGGTTTCACAGGTACCTGTACATGTATATCTAGGTCAAAATTTACCCAATTGTACACTCTAAAAATATTGAATTTATTATATGTCAATTATTCCTTAATAAAGCTGTTAAAAAAATTTTTTTAAAGTTTGAAATTCCAGTATACTAATCAAAATTTCACATTTCACAGATTGAAAAATCTTTATGATTTTCAATAAAGATTACATATCTTGTCCATGTTTACACCCAACTAAGACTAGAAACCAGGCAGTTTTCTCTGTACCTAGTCCACTACCCTGTGATTGGCATAAAAGTCTCTCAGTATAGCATCTTGTTTACATCTGAAGTTCTCCAACCTTCATGTGTATCAGGATCACCTGGAGGGCTTGTCACAGACTTTTGGGTCCCACCCCCAGAGGTTCTGATTCAATAGAGCTAAGGTGGCGCCCAAGAATTTGCATTCCATGTGATGCTGATGCTGCTGAACCAGAGACCACATTTTGAGAACACGTTGTCTACAGGATATGAAACAACTGAAGAGTCAACCAAATTGACTAGGTAATGGTACATTTCATCAATTTTATTTCGTTCTGGGAAAATGGTAAAGGGAAATTCCTCCTTCAGAATTTATAAACTCATTTCTTTAGCCTTGCCACTACACATTCCTCAACATCTAGCATTGATGTTCTATCACATGAAAGACCCAAAACCATCCATGGAGCAGATGATGTCATGTTTCCGCCCATATCCCCTCACCCACCCTCAGAGTTTATCTGCAAAGGCAGCGAGCAGTTTCCATGCAAACTGCCAGCTTCCCAGCTCAATGGCTGGCATTTCTTTGTGTCTCTGTCTGAGGACTTTCTTTAGCCAACAAGAGCTTGCTCAGTCCACAAGCAGGGGTGTGTGTGTGCGTGCGTGTGTAAGTTTGTGTGTGTGTGTGTGTGTGTGTGTAATTAATGATCCCACTTTCCAGGGCATCCTTCAAACAATGAGGACATGAATCTGCAGATAATCACTCCAGCTCCCCTATCCCTCTGTGGGACAGTTTTGAAGCTTGTTCAAATGACTCCTCAGAGTCCCTAATGAGATTGAGTCCCAGTTTCCCACAGCAGTAACCCACGCATGAATGCACCCTTTATCGGTATTTCTCCCTTTCCTGTCCACTTCCCCCATTTCTTCAACTGTGCTTCCTGGCATCACTTCCTAAATAAACTACCTGTATTCCAAGTTCTTGTCTCAGAGTCAGCTTTTGGAGGAACACAAACTAAGATACTCTATCACAAAGTTCTTTACCAAATTCATGGAAGCATCACCTGCTAGCTGACCCACATCTTTTCTTGCTCTTCTTTCAGTTTTATGCCCTGGGGCTTTATTTACAGGTCTGGGCTAGCTAAGGCAAGTGAAGTGTACTCAGTGGGTGTTAACCAATAAGTAATACAACGATTGTTGCTGCCTCAACAGTAGCAGAAATACGGACTGTTGAATCATGTTCAGATACTCCTGATTCATTAATTGTATACTTAAATAGTCATTCTTCAGAAAGAGGCCCAAGTTCATTAGTATCAGATCTGTGAATGATGACAGTTTAAAAAGACTGGCATTACGCATATTTTTCAGGGCATCACTATAAAAAGCGTCTGTCAATTCTGGAGTGTTAAAGCTTGATTAACCTTCAGCAAATATTTACATTTGAGGAGTGGAGCTTCAGCAGTGATGGCATCAACATTTGTCAAACTGCAGTGCAAATCTCAATGAAAAAAAAAGACCTGTCTGAGAAACAATTAAATCGTCCCCAAATTGAAGCCAAATAATGGTGACAGATCCTTTTGGTTAAAAAAACAATTAAATGAATCAAACTTCACCCTAAATAATAGAGCTAGTTCCTGTATTTCATTCCACTCGTTGGTGGCTTATTTTTTTTCTTTTTCTAAAAAACAGCCTCATCGCAGTATAATTAACGTATAATAAACTGCATATATTTCGAGTGTACAACTTAATTAATTTTGACATATGCATGCACCCATGAAACCATCGTCTGGCTTATTTTAAAAGCAATTTTACCTAATTTTAAGTCTATATCACTTTAAAATCCAGTTTCTGGAGTAATCCATTAATTATCACATTTATGCAGGGACTTACTATGTGACAAAAGTTCTTTGCATCACTCCCTATTTGAAACGGCTATAGAGTATGCTGAAAATGCATATGTGCAAAATAATTGGTTGGCACAATTCCCCCTAACTTACAAGGCATATCTGGCAAATAGTAATAAAAGCTACCACCTATTTAGCAACTATCATGCCAAGGCCCACTTTGTAGTTCATTAGATACACCTTTGTAACCCTCCCAACAATCCTATGAGGCAAGTATTATTAATCCTATTTTACAAGTGAGCAAACTGAGACTTAGAGACCTTTACATGGCTAGAACATGACAGAGCTGGGAACTACTTTCATTCTACTGTGGTAATATTTCCCACAGTGTTAATTTATTCATTTTTTATTTATTCAACAAATATACACCAGGCCTTAGGTTAGATGTTGGAGATATAGTGGTGAAGGTGATTGACATGGTTCCCAACATCATAAAGTTTACAGCCAATAGTAAAGAGATTTACCATTTCATTCAAATACAAGTTTTGACATACGTACACTCCTTTGAACCAACACCACAGTAAGGTATAGTGAACATATCTATGATGACTGTAAATTTCCTCATGACTCTGTGTAATTCCTGCCTCCTGTCCCTACCCTACCCCCAAAGAAGCAACCACGGACCTGCTTTCTCTCACTATGGATTAGTTTGCATTTTCTGGATTTTTATATATATGGAATCATACTTATGTATTCCTGTATGTCTGAATTCATCTCTGGATATATTTGAACTTTATTCAATTTTTAAAAATCAGCTTTATTGAAACATAACTTACATACACCCGAAGTCACCAGTTTTAAATGTAGAACTTAATGAGTTTTGATATATGAATATTATCATGTAATCACCACTACAATCAAGATATACAAAATGTTAAGCAGAATATTTTAAATTTAAGCAAAGTTTTACCCTTAAAAGCACAAAGTTGGGGCCAGCCTAGTGGTGTAGTGGTTAAGTTCGCATGCTCTGCTTTGGCAGCCCAGGGTTTGCTGTTTGGGATCCTGGGTACAGACCTACACACCGCTCATCAAGCCATGCTGTGGCAGCATCCTACATAGAAGAACTAGGAGGACATACAACTAGGATATACAACTATGTCCTGGGGCTTGTGGGGGGTGGGGCGGGAAAAAGAGGAAGATTGGCAACAGATGTTAGCTCAGGGCCAATCTTCCTCACCAAAAAAAGAAAGAAAAAAGCCCCTTCCTGTTGGCCTTGCCATTTTTCACCCATCATTTATTACCGAGTGCAAGTCTGACTTGTTTATCTGGGAGCAATCTTTGTCACACCCAGTCATCTGGCTCAGCAACCCGCATAACCACGTTTCCTTAAAAAAGAAAAAAAAAAGTTCAAAGTTTATTAGTTTCAGAGAAAGTGCTGTACACATGGAACATTCATGCATTATCCCAAGAACACACAGAAATCAACGGCACTTCACCTCCCTTTTAGACTTACACAGCTGTGGGAACTCGCGTTCATGGTTCTTTACATGGAACCTTTGTGGTTGCATATTACTTTTCTTATAAACACCCCTTTGATGCTTTAGGAAATAACTTCAAAGGTAAAAAAGTAAGAGGAAAGGGTGCACTTTGATTCATTCACCGCAGTGATTCCTCTGTCCCCAACCTGTTTAGTGCCCCACAACTGAAAGTTTCACACAGCTCAAAAGTTTCTATCAGCCACGTTGTATGAGGCCCCTTCGCTCCTTTCTTGTCTCCCAGCCTCCAGTCTCTCCCCATTCCATTCCTGCCTAAATCTCACTGTTCCGTTAATCGTTCTGAAGTCTTGCTTTGGGCACGATGGGAAACTTTCCACAGCTCGCCAGTGCTCACAGGATTAAGTCCAAGCTCCATAACACCATCTTCGTGTGCTCCACCTGTTTGTGTTCATGCTGTCGGGCAGCTAGGAGTCATCTTGCGAGAGCCATGGGGCTGAGCCCAGTTGTTGCTGCTCGGGTGGGCTGTGTGTGTTTCATCTTCCCCGGCCCCAGCGCAACATGTGGAGTGGCCTGGGTCTAGAGAAAAGGTATTAGGACTGTATTTGCTGCAAAGGGATAAAAATTTACGTCCTAAGCTTTATCTAGAAAGCTTAGTCAGGCCCTTAATTGGCCATTGTTAAGAAATTTCAGTGATTTATGTGAATGTGGGGATTCAGATGTAACAATAAGTTAGAGGTTTTACACTCCATGTGTAATTTATTTGTCAAATAACCAGACATGACTAGCCTGGGTTACTTTCTGAAAAGAATCACCATTTATTCATTTACCCAAATATTCACTAAATACCTCTTGAGCCCTATGGCGTGTCAGTCTGTGTTAGGCCCTGGCAGCATATTCACCATGCAGAGTGATATTGTCTACACCCTTACAGAGCTAACAGATTAGCCGAATGACTCATTACAGGGTAAGGAGAGCTACAAAGGGAGGCAAAGTGCATTCTGGGAGCTGTGGTGGACCCTACTGCCCTGCCCATATCCCCTCAGCACGCACCAGGCAAGTAGGAGGCTTCTTCCTGCAAGAGACTCTCAGGCTGAGTGAGGGCTTCTCTGGCCCACAGAGGAGAGGCGTGCGCTCAGCCCCTGCACGGTGCAAGCCACAGTGCCAGGAGTTAGTGCCCTTGGGAACATTCCTTGACCAACGACAAATGAGAATTGAGTTAACCACCCAGCTTCCTCACCGTCCGGGTGGGTTAACTCTGAGAACGTTCTATGTTGTCTCAGCTTGGGCTGCCGTAACAAAATGCCATAGACGGAGTGGCTGAAACGACAGAAATTTAATTTCTCTTCTCCCAGTTCTGGAGGCTGCACGGCTGAGATCAGGGTGCCAGCATGGTTGGTTTCTGGGGAAGCCTGTCTTCCTGGCTTGTGGGAGGCTGCCATATCGCCGTGTGCTCACATGTGTGCTCTCTCAGGAAGAGACAGCGCTCACCGGAGCTCTCCAGTGTCTCTTCTTATAGACACTAATCCTATTGTATCAAAGCCCCACCCTTACTATCTCATCACAGGCCTTCCCTAATTTTCAGTTATCTCCTTATAGGCCCTGTCTCCAAATACAGTCACACTGGAGGTTAGGGCTTCAGCATATGAATTTTGGGAGAATACAATTCAGTCCTTAGCATATACTGTCTCCCACAGTTCCCCAGAGAGACCGAGCCCCAGTTCTCCAGTTCCTGGTAACTTGTTCATTAATGCACTCTGAGCTGGCTGCTGCTTCTTCTCTCCTCATTCCCCCATCTTCCTACCAGAGCTTCCTGAGACTACCTCCCAAATAACCTACTATTTGCACTCAAATCTCAATCCCAGGGTTTGCTTCTGGGGGAACCCAACCAATGACTGGAGCACATAACAGGGGAACCTGACCTAGTGGGCCTGAATTTGAGAGAGCCTTATCAGGTATGTCAGGAACCCTTTCCTAAGGACTCTGTGAGAAGACATTTAAAGTCTTAAGCAAAGAAATGAACCTCTGGCAGAATTTGGAGAAAGGATTAGAGGAGGTAAAGAGTAGATTCAGGGCAACCAGTCGGGAAGATATTTCCTCAGTCAAATCAGGAGAAGATGGCAGCTAGTTCTAGGGAGGAGGCAGTGAAGACGGAGCTCGTCATGGTGCCTGGTCCATAGGAGCTCAACAAATATTTTTGGATTAAAATTAATGAATGGGTCCAATCCACTCAATCTCTGGGTAGACTGACAGAACTTGAAGATTGATTAGATCTGGGATTTGAGGAAAAGGAAAGAGTCGAGAATGACTCCTAGTCTTTAGGCCTGAAGCTGAAGTGGTGCTGGTGCTGTTGACTGAATATGGAACACAGCCTCAAGCAGGAGGGGGTGGGAGATGATGAGTTTTTGGCATGATGTGCCTGTGAGACATCTAAGTGATGCTGAGTGGGCAGCTGGCTATACAGGTTTGGAGCTGGGTCAGAGGTGCATATTAGGGTCCCACCAGATAAAGATGCTGAGTGGAGCAAGCCCTCTCCAGCCACATGGGAAATGTGGCCCAGAAGAGCTCCACATTTTCCTACTGTCTGGCATTCACTCTAAAATAATATTTACAAGGAGTACAAGGGAGAACTAATATTTATTGAGAACCTACTATGTGCCAGGAATTGTACCAGATGTTTATTTAATCTTCAGAACAGCCCTGAGAGCTATGTAATGTTATCTCCATGTATAGATGAGGAAAGCAAGGTACAGAAAGGTGAAGTAACTTACCCACGGTCACACGGCTGGTAAGCAGCTTCAGAAAAACTCTGGACGGTCTTACTCCAAATTTCTTGTTCTTAAAGAAACAAAGCATCAGCAAAGTGTGGTTCTGCATCCTATGTCTCTCAGTCTCACCAGACTCCACAATGAGCAATTCCCAGAGTCAGGTGCATTCACTAGAAGGATCTTTGGATTTCAGAGTCCAAAGACCATGCTCTCTGCAGGATGCTGCCCAGGTGCTCATCACTCATTTGGACAACTCCCTCTCCAAGTGGTCCCCCTGCTGGCAACCCTATTGGGTACAGCCCTATTGTGTACAGAAGTCTTCTCTCAATTTCTGTCTCTGTAGATTTGCTTTTTCTGGACATATCATTTAAATGGAATCACATGACGTGATATGTCCAGAAATTTAGTATTTCCTCAACACCATATGAAGGGCAGGGAGTAACCCAAAACCTCCTTATTTCTTTTTATTTAAAAATACAGCATACCACCTTGGATTTGCTAATATTGATATATAGTCCTGAAAATGCCCCAATTATTTTCCCTTCTGCAAACACTTTTTTTGTAGATTTGCATTAAAATTATACATTTATTTGGAAAGAACTGACATTGACAATATTCAGTGCTATATATTTTTCTATTCAAGTACATAGTATTTCCTTTCCAATCCAGTCTGTTAAGTCAAAATTTTTGAGAACTTTGTTTTAGATTATTATGCAGGTTTTGAACATATACTATCAGTACTGTAAACTCTTTATTCTTTTTGTGATATTTTTATATGGCACATTTTCCCACAGTCTGTTCTAAATCATTGTTTCCAATAGGCAGGAAAACAACAGAATTGTGCATAAAATTTTTGGAAGACAGTATGGAGGTTTCTTAAAAAATTAAAAATAGGGGCCAGCCCGGTGGTGCAGTGGTTAAGTTCGCACCTTCTGCTTCTTGGCGGCCCGGGGTTCACTGGTTCGGATCCCGAGTGTGGACATGGCACTGCTTGGCAAAAGCCATGCTGTGGTAGGCATCCCATGTATAAAGTAGAGGAAGATGGGCACAGATGTTAGCTCAGGGCGAGTCTTCCTCAGCAAAAAAAGAGGAGGATTGGCAGTAGTTATCTCAGGGCTAATCTTCCTCAAAAAGAAAAAAAAATTAAAAATAGAACTACCATATGATCCAGCAATCCTATTTCTGAGTATTTATCCAAAAGAATTGAAATCAGGATCTGGAAGAGATATCTCACTCCCATGTTCACTGCAGCATTATTCACAATACCCATAATATTAAAACAACCTAAATGTCCATTGATGGATGAATGCATAAAGAAAACAGCACAGTCACACAATGGAGTACTATTTAGCCTTAAAAAAGAGGAAATTCTGCCCTTTGCAACAACACGGATGAACCCGGAGGACATTATGCTAAGTGAAATAAGCCAGTTACAGAGGACAAATACTGCCTGATTCCACTTATATGAGATATCTAAAATAGCCAGACTCATAGAGGCAGAGAGTAGAACGGTGGTTGCCAGGGGCTCAGAGGAGGAGGAAATGGGAAGTCACTGCTCAGTGGGTATAAAGTTTCTATTATGCCAGACGCATACATTTTAGAGATCTGCTCTATGTTAACATGCAGTGCCCATAGTTAACAATATTGTATCGTACACTTAAAATTTTGTTAAGAAGTAGATCTCATGGTGTGTTCTTACAACAATAAAAAGAAGTCAACTGGAAAACAATTATACAAATACAGCTCTTAAAAGATGGAAGTTAGAATCTATATTGCTTCATTCTCCAGATGTGAGGTAATATTACTCCATATGTTCTAACTCTTTTAATAGGTTTGTTGGAGGCAGAGTTTCATAGACTACTTTCAGGTACGGGGGTGGGCATCTCACCTGAGTCACAGAAGGCTCCAGAGATTGGGCAAGCTGATAACTTAAGCCAGGGAGATGAGGTCACGCTTTTTCTACTCACTGCAATCTTGCAAAGGGTAGAGACTGAGACATGTTTTCTGAACCAGAAACTAGACCTAAGTGAGAGGCCCTGAGGCAGAAGAAAGACTGGAACAGTGAAGTTCATCCTGGAACCTGTCCCTGTCTTGACCTCTCCCATCCTCCTCCACATTGTAGCCAAAATGAACTTTCATCATCATAAAGGCATGCTTCAAAGGACCTGTCATGATCCGTCCCTGCTTGCTTCTCCAGCCTCTTGTCTCACTCCCCTCCTCTCTCTGGGACCCTATTATCTAACCATTAGTAATTTCTTTTGGCTCCATAAGAAACTCATCATTTTTGTTTTTAACTCAAGGCCTTTGTACATGCCCATCCCTCTGCCACAGACCCTCTCACACCCAACCCACCAAACTGACATTCCTGCTCATTGGCAAGTCTCAAGTTAGACTTCTCTTCCTCCAAAAATTTTTCCTTGACCCTCAAGACTGGGTTAGGTTTTCCCTTAGCACCCTGCTTTCACCCCTATTCCAGGGGTTCTCCAACTGTGTTGCAATTGCCTATTATCATGTCTGCCTCCCGCTTCCCCTAGACTGAAAGCTCCTTCAGACAGAGAGAGAATCTGTACAACATCTGACCTCATGAGATACCCCAAGTTAGAACTGCCCAGTTGTTGCTCCCAAATTCCTGATCCATAGAAACTGTGAAATAACAAGTGATTATTGTCATCTTGAATCACTAAATTTTGGGGTAATTTGTTACATAGTAATGGATAATCAGTATACTATCAAAACTTAATGATTTAAAACAACCACCATATCTCAGAATCTGTAGGTTAGTAATTGGCAATCTCTTGCTCCTTGTGGCATCAACTGGTATCAACTCAGCAAAACTCAGCTGATGGATGAGTTAGCTGGGAGGACCCAAGATGGCTTCTGGCACTTTGTGGCCTAGAAGGCAGGACTCAGCTGGAAGGGTTGACCCCAGAGACTACACTTGGCCTCTCCAGGATGGTTGCCTCAAAGTAAATGGACTTTTTACACGGCAGCTGGCTTCCCTCAGAGCAAGTATCCCAAAAGAACCCAGAAGAAGCTGCATGACTTTCTATGACCCAGCCTCAGAAGTGACACAGTCATTTCTACCATACTCCCTTGGTAAAAGCAGTCCTAAGACCATCCAGATTTAAGGAGAGGAAACAGAGATCCCACCTCTTGACGGGAGGAGTACAAATAATTTGTAGCTATTTTAAAAAAATTAACTTTATGAAGGCATAATTTATATATAATAAAATACTCCTATTTAAACACATAATTTGCCAAGTTTTAACAAATGCACACATCCTTGTAACCACCACCACAACCAAGTTATAGAACATTTCCTTCATCCCCCAAAGTTCCCTCCTGCTCCCTTGCACTCAATCCCCTCATGCCTCCCCCTCAGCACTAGGCAACAACTCATCTGTTTTCAGGCTTTGCTAGAATTTCATATGATACAGCGTATAGTTTTTCACACCTAGCTTTTTCCCTTGGCTAAATGCTTTTGAGGCTCATCACATTGTTGCATGTATCAATAGTCCATTTTTTTTTCATTGCTAAGTAGTTTCTATTGTATGGACAGAAACTTTTTGTTTATGCAGTTACCTGTTGATGGATATCTGGGTTATTTCTAGATTTAGGTTATTATGATAAAGCTACTATGAACACGCATTTTCATTTCTCTTGAATAAACATCTAGGAGTGGGGTTACTGGGTCATACAGTAAATGTGTTTAACTTTATAAGAGACTACCAATTATTTTCCAAAATGGTGGTGCCATCTTACTTTTCTACCAACAATATATGAAAGTTCCAGTTGCTTCACATCCTTGTCAACACATGGTATTGTCAGTCTTTTTAAGTTCAGCCATTCTAACGGGTGTGTAGCAGTATCTCATTGGGGTTTTAATTTGCATTTCCCTGATGACTAACAATGTTGAGCATATTTTCATGTATTAATTGGCCATTGATATATCTTCTTTTGTGGAGTGTCTGTTCAAACCTTTTGCTATTTATAATTGGTTGTTTTATTTTCTCATTATTGAGCCTTAGGAGTTGTTTATAAATTATGGATACCAGCATTTTTTCAGGTATATGTATTACAAATATTTTCTTCCAGACTGTGGTTTGCTTTTCATCTTCTTAAAACTAACTAAAGAGAAGTTTTAAATTTTGATGAAGTCCAAATTACTACTTTTCTTCTTTTTTTGAATAATGCTCTTTGTATCCTATGTAAGAAATCTCTGCCTACCCAAGGTCACAAAGATTTTCTCCTATGTTTTACTCTAGAAGTTTTATAGTTTTAACTTTTATATTTAGATCTATGATTCAATTTGAGTTAATTTTTTATATGGTGTATGGTCAGATCAAGGTTGACTTTTTTCAAAATAATATGCAGTAATTACAGTAGCATTTGTTGAAAATATTACCCTCTCTTCATTTAATTACCTTGGCACATTTGTCTGAAGAAATTGACTATTAATATATATAATCCCTATATATATAGTTCTAGATTTTTTTGTCATGTCAGAAGAGATCTGATCTCTTTCTGCCAGAGTTCCGGTCATTCAAGTTCAACTTGAATGGAAGAGGTGAAGACAAGGGGGTATATTGTAGAGCTATGCCTCTGGCCTAAAGGAAAAAACTGCCACCCTTATCAATACAGTGGGAAACAATCCCATTTTCTAATACTGCAACATGCCAATGGACTTTGGGTCACAACACAATCCCCTCTCTGAGTATGTCCCCATGCCTGCTTAAAGGTAGGGCAAACTTTTCCTCTCAAGAGAATATTTTACTTCACGACTTTTTTTTTCCAAAACACCAATTTGGTTGTTTCACATTTGTCAGGAACAAAGAAGCCATAGCAGGGCTTTGCTATTACTCAAAAGTAACTTTGTTGTCAACAAAATTTCTGATTTATGAGAAGTTGGAACTGGTTTGCAAAGTCAATAGGTTAATCACTAGCTCGGGTCTCTAAAAATTATTGTGAGATTTAATACTAAAACTTTAAATCCCCAAAACGTGCCTTAGGGTCTGTTTGCAGAGGGAGTGATCCTCAGTGAAAATAGGTGAAAAATTTTAAAAGTGTAAACTGTTTAGCAACTGTGCATACCAAACAGGTTCTTTGTGGTTTTGCCAAAATCAGATTTGGCTTTTCCTACCACAGAAACTCTCCAACCTCTATTTCTACATCATTCAACATGGCAAGGCTAACAGAAAATCAAGGTCAAATGAGGAAACTCAGCAAATGGTTTTTATCTGGCTTCACTGACCACCAACTGGCGAACACCATAAGGAACACTGTACAGAAGATAAATACCAGGATAAAAGTACATTTTTGACCATGGGCCCAGGTTCTCGTAAAAGAAGCAGGCCTGAGATTTATAGGAAATGATTTGGGAATGAATTCAAAGTGCTGAAGAATCTCAAAACTGTTTTGCCATTTAACAACAACCAAAAGAAAAATCCCCATGCTTTAAAAAATTTTAATGGTAGCTTTCTTTTTCTCCTGCACCTGCACTCTATTTAATAATTTTACCCATAACCTGCCTGTTGTCGTTATTCTAGGGAAGACCCAGTACCCAAAAGATCTGTATGGGATATGCAGGTCACAGCGAATTATTGGCGCTCAACAAATATATAACAGTGATAGAATAAACGGAGGTTCCAATGAGCTGGAACACATAAGTTATCTCAAACGAGCTTATTTTTGGATGACTTTCTACTGATGAGAAAAATTCCCTTAAGTAAAAGCTAATATTTTTAACTGCTTCAATTCCCTTCCTTTAAGGAGCTCTTAATACGTTATTAATATAACACAACATTAATCATAAAACATATGATAACCTATTTTTTAAAAATCAAATCCAAGAATGCCAGACAGGTGGTTTATGAAGAGAGCATAAGCCCAAGAGAGCGCCTCACTTCCGTCTTCCCGGGAGAAAAGGATAAATAATTGACTGGGATCTAACCTAGCGGAAGGAGGTGCTCCCAGGACGTAAGAAATTGTCTTGAGGCAGAGAATAAGAAAGAATGCAGGAGAGGAAAGGGAGAACTTTAAAGGTTGTAGGTGTGTGATATTTTTTTCCTTCGAATTAGCGAAAAGGAGAAAGAGGGGAAAGATGGAATCTATATTGGTTTTCTTGAGGTTTAGGAGCAAGAAAGTAAAGCGAAAAGGAAAATAGGCAGGATGAAGGACTTTCAGAGCTGGAAGTTACCATACAAGCATTTAGTCCAGGGATCTGCAACTCTACCTGGAGCTAAACCCAAAAGAACTCTTACACAGAACAAAAGCAGAAAGAAGAAAAGCTGCCGTGGCGAAAGGGACAGAACGGGGCAGAGGCGGGCAGAACCCCCATCACGCGCACGCAGCCCTCTCTCCATCTTAAGAGTTGTTGGAAAACCACTGACCAATTTTGACGTCTCATTTTACAGAGGAAGAAACAGACCCAGAGACGAAACTGACCAGCTCACGGTCACAGCACAGAACCCGCCTGTCATGTCTCTACACAACTCGCCACTTCCCGGTTTGCCACTAGAGGGAGGCAAGGAGCGCGTACACGTTCTGCGGAATCAGCAGGATGAGCCGCGGCGGTGGAAGATATGCGGCGAGGAAGGCGGCGGCGCGGGCCCTCAGCCCGGACTCTTCCCCGTGCGGCCACCAGGGAGCGCGCCCGGCCCGCCGCTGGCGGCTGTGCTTGATGGTGGGAGAGGAAGCCACAGCGCGCCAGTCGCCTTGGAAACGGTGGGCGCGGCGGCAGCGGCGGCTGAGTGGGTGGACCTGGCCCGCGAGCCCGACAGGAGTGCTACCTGCGAGCCCACTGCCGTGTATCCGCACCTGAAAGCCGTCAAGGGGAGGTCGCGACACTGGCTGGCCTCCTCGCTCGGCCCCTGACTCCTTCCACTCTGACGAGACTTTACGAGCATCTCTGCCCCACCCCCACCAGCCCTGGGGCTTGGTCTGCCCCAATGGGCCTGGGGTCGCGCCCTCCTGGAGTCCTCCTCTGGGCGCTGTTCCTGGGCCGTTAGGGACCGCTGGGAGGGGTGAGCCTATGAGAACCTTTTGATCTGGTCAGAATATTAACCCATCTCTCTTTCCTCCTTGCAGTAGAACCCCTGGATTCGTTGTTTTGTTTTGTCTTTCTAGATCTTCTGCTCCTGGAGGACAGGATCTGAATTTGGTTCAGGTTTGTAACCTCCGTGGTGCCCTCACAGTCTCTAGCACCCAGTAAATACTCAGTAAAGCAACAATGCCTTCCATTTGTATGGGGCTTTACCACTTGAAAATTTTCCCAAAGCATTTGAGCCTCATTAATAACCCCGACAGGAGATAGGAAAGATGGAAGAGAAACTGAGGGTCAGAGAGATTTATAGACTTGTCCAAGGTTATCCTCAATACCATCTCAGAGCCCCTCCCACAGCCGGGACTTCCTAAGCTCTCCTGTGTTGTCGATGGTCTTTCATCCCCACCCCCTCAATCCATAGATTGGTTTCAGCCGCTTGTCCTGGATGCCGCAACATCCCTTTAACCAGGACACTTGGTTTCTTTCTTTTATTAGTTTGTTAGATTTGTATAGTACCTTGTTCGTTTTCTCTGCTGCCCCCCCCCCCCTTACTCCGTAATTAATTCTTTGCTGGGCAGAGAGAGTTGAGGAAGTGTTTGGAAGGTGGGAGGTGTCCCATTTAAGAAACAATAAAGGAAAGATTTCTGTGACCGCAGAGAAGGAAAATAATAAGACTGGATATTTATGAGAGTGTGTGATAATTGCTCATGGATTTCCTTACCGACACCCTTAACACCCCACCCCAGTTGATCTTCTTTATATTCACCAATGCTCTTTGAAGACAGAGAGAAACCTTTTCGTTCTCCACCGACAGAGTATGAAAGTACTGCATGTGTTTCCATTATCCTCACAATATTATTTTCATGATTATCTTTCTTTTTTTTTCTTTTTTGATATTTCTAAAATTGAAGGACAGCAGGAGTTGGGAAAAAATGTAGTTCTGGTTGCTGGAGAAGTTAGTGTAATATGCTGCATTTTAAACTATTTGTTATTAGCAATTCTGGATCAGAAGATAGACGAGTTTTTAAGCTAAGAGTCCAATACAGTTTGGGAATTGTGGTTCAAAAATGTGCCACTGACCGAAGGATTTGTATTGGTAAAGAAAATACATGCTAATGTAACGCACATCATCAATCATGCAAGTGAAAGTTGAAAATGCCGTTCATGCAGATATTTTTAAATACCTTGATTTGAATATATGATTGTTTAACATATCTCCAAACTGGCTGTATTTTATATTTTAAAGCTGTTTTGGGCTGTATATATATAACCTATACAAAAAGAGGTCTGAAATTTTTTAAGCTAACTTTTAGGTGATAGCACTACTAAAAAGCTTTAAATGAATTCTGGGTGTGTTTTTTTTTAACATATGCTGGAAATCATTTCTAGAACATTTAAAAATTGTGTTAAAAATGTGTTCTAGCAGAAGTGAGAATTTGAAAGTGATTTTACTTTCTAAAATTAGGGTATATACAACATTATGAGCAGATAAATATGACCATGGATAAAGTGAGCAGGCATTATTTGCAAATCAATTATTTAAATCAGACATTTATTGAACATCTAGTTTGTGCCCCTGGGAGAGGCTTGCCTATGAGCCAACATCTGTTTTTGAATTCCCAAAGATGAGGGTTTATTGAAGTGGTTAGTTGCTATTCAGTATTAAAGGAGTTATATTTTGTTGAAGATGAGTGCTGTGAACGTTTTCAAATATATAGTGCAGCACACTAAAGATGTGTTCCTTTTAAGTTAGATTGCTCTTTAACAAAGGCTTTTGGAAGTATTGCATTATTATGGTTAATATTATTATTGTTAGACTTACACAAGTAAGTTAATGGCAGAGCCGGGACTAGACTTCAAGACTTCCAACACTCATATAAAGATCTTTTAACTAAATCATGCCCTCAACCCCTGATGGACTCTTACTCAGAACTTTGGTCTTACTAATGCTATTAAATAAATATCTTCCATTTTAGTCTACCATTTATATAAAACATTAGCTAACAAATGTCAGGGTCCATTCCAAATGTCCAGAAAGGTCTTAGGGCAGAACTGCCATCCCTCCCAGCCTCCACAAAATTATGAAAGGAATCGTTAAGAGATTTCTACACATTCATGGCCCCACAAAGTCATGAAAAAAGGTCATTAGGAGCTTTCTAGATTTTGAGCCAGGATCCTGAGACTGCGCTGGAAGGGACGCACTCTGTTTCTTGGGTAATTTTGCAGAATCAAGTAAAGCATTATGGGATAACAGTACCTTTGAAGAAGATGGCTATTATATATCCATTTTTACTAAACAAACTTCTTAATTTTCACTGAGAAGCATTTGGGGAATATTCTTTGAAACATTTTCTGACAGAAGGTGATTATGGAATAGACACTGAAAAGGCTGGAGACCTGAGTCTTTCAAACCCAGCCTCCTCACCTGCCCTGACTCGGTGACGTATGTTATTGAACGCCCGAACAGTGTTGGGAGAGGAAAAACAGGCGGGCACAAAAGGTCACAGTGTGGGCGAAGAGCTCTGTAGCATTCATTATCTGCACGATTTTGCTAAAGTCTTTTAAAGTTGCTCATTATTTTTTAAAGTTCTGCTGGAGTATGCTTCTATCTTCATATCAGTCTAAGTAGCGATGTTGCCTCTTCTATGTTTTATAACCAAAGGCCAGGGAAAGTGCCACGCACAGATCAGGCACTCAACAGATGTTTGCAGTTATTGACAAACAAATTAGGTGTCCATTTGTTAGGAATTATTCCAAGTGAAACCTCCCTGGACAATAATTGCATTACTTTGTGAATATTTTTTTCTACTATTCTCACCCTTTACTGAGATAGAAATCCGCTAGGTGGTCAGAAACCGTATCTTCTTGTAAACGTTTATGAAAATCCCCATTGTTTGTAGGATATTATCAAATGCAAAAGTACCTTTTGAGGTAATGTCATTAGCTTATTACAAAAATGCAACTATTAAGCAGGCAGTCAACTGGCTTACTAATTTTCTGGAAAGTGTGTGAAACAATCTTAATATAGTTTATGCATAAATCATTTGTGCTTAATGGATCCACATTTTCACTCATATTTTATTAAATTCCTTTGCTATGAGCTGCAGTTAGGTAACTGATTATACATTAGACAGAGAGTTGAAAACATAAGAGCCAGGTAACTGAGATAATTGAGTGAGGTGAGGTCATTTTTCCTCCAGTACCAGATGGGTACTGCAGGTGGGAACCATAACATTTGATCTCTTCCAGATGACTCAGGAAAAAAAATGAGAGATTAATGTCGACATTTGTTTTAACTTTTAAATAATTTTATAGTAAAAAATCAGTTAAATAGTAATTTTTTGTTGTAAAATGAAACACTTGTCAGCATGCTTTTCGTGCAACGCGCAGGTTAATTCTAAAATACAAAATAATATAGAAATTCAACTCTGCATCTGAAACAAAAGAAAGCAATTTTTTTCTTAGCTGATAAGTTTCCGTGAACTGTGATGGTATAATGAGACATTTTGGTATGTAGCTTATGGCATTATTCTCAATAATTCCATATCTGAGAAGCTATTACCCTGTCTTAATATATTAAATCTTTTTATTGTGTCTCCTTTGTAGTTTTCAGTTGGAAAGTATTGTAGTATATTTTCACTCATTTATACTCAAATCTGTTAGAACATGGAGATGAGCACACTTGGCTAGAAAAGAAAAGTCTCAGACACAACGACTGAGCCTCACTGGAGGTCTGGATGTGTGAGCAGCGTGTCTACAGGGAAAAAGTGTGTTTTCATTTGAGAGTTTTTCTGCTGTGGATCTGAATGATCTGTGTAGACTGTGGATTCAGTGATCCACATCAGTGAGGAAGGTTGACAGTAGCACACCACATAGATTAGTCTTTCCCACAGCATCATACTTGGCAGCAGGCAGACATCCTCTGCTTTACAGCTACTTGAAATTTGAAGAAGCATGATCTGGAGCTATAACTAAAGGGACATGATACTTATTAAGCTTTTCCTATATGTCAGACACTATGCTAGGTGCCTTAAATATTAGCTTATTTAATCATTACAACAGCTTTTAGAATAAGATTCTTGTTCTCACTATAGAGATGAGGAAACTGAAGCTCAAAAAGATTAAGTAACCTGCTGAAGGTCAGTTAGATAATAGGTCGTGGATCTAGGATTAAAACACATCTGCCTGATTTATTCATCCATCCATTCCTTTATTCATTTGACAAGGATTTATTGTGCATCTATTGTGCTAGGCTGGGAAATACAGTAACGCACAAGAACTACATTATCCCCACTCTCATGGAGTTTCCGGTCATTTTAACAAATAATTACAAAGGTTATGTTCTTTCTATCACACTCTAATACACTGAAGGATGGGCACTTTTATTTTTTTTAGATTAATGGAAATTAAAAGATAAAAATCTTTTAACGAAGACTATAATCTGAAAAGAACTTTAGTGCCCATACCAAATCCATGAAATAGTCCTACTTACTATAAACATCTGTGAATAATGTGCCTGATTTTCCCTTTTAAAAATATTATTTTTAATAATTTTTAATAGATACAAAAGCAATTAATAGCTGATAAACAGTTACTGCTAATAAAGCATTATTATTATTATTTTGCATTTGTAAACCTCTTAACCATTTA